GTTCGCGAAACATAAAATATGGAGGAAGTATAATATTGAATAAAAATCACAACTGTTGTCTTCAATGACGTTACGCTTTCATTTTTTTTTTTCAAAGCTAAAGTAAGCGACATGTGCAAATAATTTCATTTATCTCTGCGAGAACGATGTGAAGCACATGATTTTATTACTATCCCTGGAAGTTACAATGTTAGGAATTTTTAATAAATAAATTTTCAAACATTTCTCTGAAATTGTATAAGTTTAACCACAGCAAATATTCAAGAAATTTAACAAAGTAACAATATGCAGGATACGGAACACCCCCATATAATTTTAATATGTCCTTTTTTTATGTAAGATACCCTGTATCTCCGCCACTGGAGCATGTAAATTTTAGGAAAAGCCTTCAGATTTTGGACAATATTTACATAAATACATGTGCCCATTTCTAATTATTTCACTTATTAATTTTTAAATTATTTAAAAAAAATAAAAATATTTTTTTGAAGTAACACCCTGTGTCTTTTTAATGAAGCGTCCTAGATAAAAACTTTACAGGAAAGACTCCCTTTAAAATTCACCAAAGAATACGAGTTTTTATTTTTGATCGCCATTTGTGAATCACCCTGTATATTTAAAATTTTATTAAAGATTCTCCACCTATGTCTAAAGAAAACATATAAAAGTATTCAATATCCTTTTTCCAAAATAGTTCACCTGTCTGAAGAAAAAAAAAGAATTCAAATATCACTTTCCCAAAGTAATCGATTTAATTGATGACTCAACTTGGAGGAGAAAAAATAAAAGAAACATCATTTAAATGCAATGAAAAAATGAATAGACATTCTTTTCAGTCCTTTCCACTTACAATTATTTATTTCCATTCCCGTTTTCTTTTATTAAAAGAAGGTACTGGCAGCATATGGGTCGCTGTTGTACTCAAAGTTTTAGAATTTTACGTATTTTTAGACACAATAAGTGCACGTTCCAACAGATAATTGCATTTCCATTGTCCCATGATTAAGTATTCTATGGACCCATAATATATCAAACTGTCTAAAATATGTCTAATTTTGACCCAAGGAAACAAATTACGGACAAACAATTATAAAACCTCAGACATTGGTGTTCGTTTTACCTTCCCAGAAGATCAAATTCTCATAATTTCAAGACTACTATTTGGATTTGTATTTTAACAAATTGACAATAGTTCGAGATTCTCTTTAATACCATTAATTTATTTTCAAAGAAGATACAAGGCGTAACAGAAACGTTGCGAAAAATTCCCGTGGCCTATTTGAAACTTACATATTTCGAAAATTACTTCCATTATCGTACTGAACAAATCTTAGAAATTTTGCAGGTCGACAGAAATTTTGTGAATATTAACCAAATTTGTTTGAGCCCTGAGTGTCGACGGTAAAGTAATGGAATAATGAATCCGTATGAGTTAGTGGCATCTCAGGGCTCTAATTTGTCCAAAATAGCTGTTGGGATATACTCGACAAGTTCGCGGTTTATATACGAAATATTCTTCGGATCAACGACAACAGGGCAACTGATTTTTTACACTAAATATTGTCATATGTGAAACAAAGAAAAATACACTTTTCTCGGCTAATTCAAACAGAACAGACAGGAAGATTTTGCGTTTAGAATCTTACGGAAGACCTGGTTCATGCAGGACGGATTTTTGCTGCGAAGTTCGAATGCTAGACGTCCTCTACCACGGTGGTAAATAGACCACGGTGGTTTCATTTTTTGATTCCCGAGGCGTTCGATGAAATTCTTTCTATGGTCTATCTCGGTAAACGCTCAACTAATTAATAGTGAACACGCCTCCACAGGGGTCGCGGGATAGGTTGCAAGAGGCCGCGAAAGATTTTACATAATAAATAAAGAATATGTATCAACATAATTTTATGTTAAAAAATGAATGTGAAACATGCTTGCTTTTCGAAAACACTTTTATCGAATATAAGTCCTGTATTTGAAACACACAATGATAGCATATTGTCTCAATAATATTTCCCTTCAGTTTAGTTAGATGCAAATTTAAAAAAGTTGATTCAGTATACATTTGTGATTCTCGTAATTATTTTGAATTCTGGAAAATACTCAAGAAAATGTTTCAAATTACACAAAGTTTTCACAATTTAGCTTATTGTGAAATGAATCACACTTACTTTCAAAAATGTTATTGACCAAATTACAATCCTCTTTGTAAACAAATGTTGTTTAATATTTTTAAGAAAAGCTAAATGAGGAAGTCAAAGAAATTTCGAAAATAAATTCGCATATTTAGATCTTTTACCGTGTGGATACATTGCTGATCTTAATTGGTAGGACCTTTTCCACATATTGCCTCTGGAAAGTAAGGCTTTCCTTATGATCTTATGATATAGAACATTTTCATAAAATGCACCCACGTCTTCCCGGATATTAGCGAAAATACGAAAATATAAAACTTAGTCCATATCAGATGATAATGGCTTTTTCCATGAAAGTATCAAATATACATTTTCCGCTAGCGTTTGTTTTCAGTGATTTACAAAATAAAATATTTTCTTTAATACCAATTTCAGTATCTTACCTCACAATTTAATACAGATGGAAATATCTGTCAATTCATGCACAATAATTCTTAAGATTTTCAATAAATTGCATTCTGATATTTTCTGCCATGTCGCTTATTATTCTTTGAATCGTATTATTAGGAAGAGGTATTTGTCTGATTGTGAGTTTATCGACTTCTGTAACACTAATATAAATTATTTGCACAATTTCCAGAGTTATCGGTAAAATTAAATCCACAGCAATTATATGGGACTTTGCAATGCGAAATGTAACTCTATAACTTGCTAGTAATGCTTTCTCATTAATGTTAATTGACAAAGTAAAAGCGGCTTGTTCCTTGTGAAGGTATTTAATATTTTTTCAAATAAAATCATCGAGATTTTCTAACAAGCCTGAAAGAGGTCGAATAAAGAGTGCATACATTAAAAATAGGTGATTTATACGTTACATTTGTTTTTGCAGTCACAACAAGATTCAATTCACAGATTAAATTTTTCCAATAGAGCATGCCAGTCGATTTTATAGTTTAATAAATTAAAATAACTAAAATAAATTGCAGAACAGATTCTTCTAAGCGACAATGGCTGCAACTGAAAAGCATTTTATTGTTTATGTCTTTTCCGGAATATACACCACTCTTTTTGAAAGGATAAACTTTAGCAACTTCTGCTACACTCTATTTGACAAAGACTTTTGACTATATTAATTTACTCTTAATGAGCGACACACAACAATTCGAAATATCGCTTTTAATAAAAAAAAATCCCAAAGTTTTGGAATTCAAACCTACACTTTGTTAAAGTGGCTCGGAAGAAGAAATTCAGAGTAATACAAATCCTTATAAGATGAACGATCAATGGCAATGCTATTAATTTGATAATAACTACAAGATAAAACTCCCTTCCTTTTCGTGTATGAGGCTATTTTACATTTATACATATACCGGGTGGTTCAGTTTGATATTCGCGGCCTTGTATCTCTTTTGTTTTATCAAATAGATATAACAAACCCTATATATTTTTAAATCGCCGCTCAAACTCTATCAAATGATATTGTTAGATCGTCTCCATGGTGACATATGTTAAAATTGCTATAGTCAACTGTTTTTGTTCAAATGGCACACTATATGTTTTTTTATCAATTCTGGAAGATATTTTTTTCTGCATTCAGCTATATAAAGAAGTCTATAGTTTCATTAGAAATATTGCTAGAAAGACATCAAAAAAGATTAACCCTACTTTCAGTAGCATTATTGTGAAAAATGACAGCCAGCTGCGGAAACAACTGAATTTGACGGTTCTAAAAAATAACTGTTTTTCAAAATAATTGACATTTTGTACCTACTTATTCTATCTATAGCTAATTATTATTATTATAACATGAATACTTATAGTAACCAAGAAAAACTAGATATGATTTTAATTTATGGAGAGTGCTGAAAGAACGCTAAAGCTGCCAGGCATTCATTCATATCAACATCGTTTTCCGCAGAGACAACTTCCATCAGATAAAATTTTCGGAAAGTTAGCCAGGAATTTGGCAGCAGATGGTTTTCAAAAGAAAAGAAGAGTTTTTAAACCCAGAAGGGTAACAGATGAAGAACATTCGATAAAGATGTTAAATGGCCTGCTATAGATCTCCGGATCTCATTCCTATAGATTTCTTTATTTGGCCTTACCTAAAAGAAAAAGTTTACTATTCGCCTTTAAATGATATTGACGACCTTAAAAACAGAATAAGAGTAGAATGTCGGAGATAAAATGAAGAAACACTAGAATGTGTTTGTAGAGAGGGAGTGATAAATAAAGCTATTCTGTGTTTGGAAGCAAATGGAGGGCATTTTGAACATAAAACATTAAAAATAAAATATGTTACTTTAAAAAACATAGTAACTTGTTTTTGCAGCTGACTATCATTTTCAGAAAAAGCTACGAAAAGTAGGGTGCATCTTTTTTGCTGTTTTTCTAGTAATATTTCTAATGAAACTATAGACTTCCTTACATAGTTGAACGCAGAAAAAAAAAATCAGAATTGTAAAAAAATATATAGTGTGCCATTTGAACAAAAACAGTTGACTATAGCAATTTTGACATATGTTACCATGGAGATGATCTAATAATATCTTTTGATAGAGTTTGAGCGGCGATTTAAAAATATATAGGGTTTGTTATAGCTATGTGTTAAAATAAAAGATATACAGGGCCGAGAATACCAAACTGAATCACTCGGTATACCTAAGTATTTAATCTTAATGAATTTGGAAAACACTACTCATTTAACTTAAGCATCTAATACCTATGAGTAGTATATCCGTAAATCTAATGTAGATACTATCTTGTTATGTATTTCTATTTGAACTTACGAATATTTTGGGGTAGCGACATCCATGCATTTCAAAAATGGTAAAAATTACCCTATATATAAGAACAATATGTACTCACCTGTCGGCGTTCCTTCAGAAGTCACCAAACTAATAGAGTCTATTAAAAACAGCACCATCACACAGACTGTCATGCAATTTAGTGGAAGCACAGTCACTGCCATTTTAATTCGATATTAATAAACACTAACGGTATATAGTGTATTATTATTCACTATCGATGTAGCAAACGCCTCTTCTCCGTTTATCACTGTTGACACATTAGTAATTTAGCATATAACTCGGGATTAAGAGACGTAGTAACATTTATTTAATTACGCGCTAAGGGAGCATTAGTATATCAAAGGCGAGGAGAGTAAGAAGCAAATGACATTATGCTGTACACATCGATTTGGGTCGCAATAAGGGCGTAATCGTGGTTGGTACAGTTTGAGTAACTCTTGGAGCTATGCGGTCAATTAATATCAAAGAACTCATTCTGCTTTTTCTCTGAATATCATCAGAAACGTTTTTATAAAGCAGGCTTTCAACAATCAACAACAAACTCGCATTCCTTCATCTTTTACACATTATCAGAAGGAACTTCACATAAAAGATATTGAAATCTGCCGAAATCATCGGATAAAAGCAGCACGAGCTTCGATGCTACTGAACAGTAACATCGAGTTTTATAGCTTCCACGGTTCGTGATGTTATTTACAGAACGTCTAAGAGGAAAATTATTGTCAGAGGAATTGTTCCATCCACAGTGGTTTTAGAACTAGCAAGGACCAGAATCAATATGAGGGAGGGTCGAGTGATTCTGGTAGAGGGTCCATCCCCACAGAGCCTAGACCGAAAACAACACAGGCAGATTCATAACTAAGGTTAGAGAAGTGTGTTGTGTAAGTTTGTAATTGGCGGCGACATAGGCCACATAGGTAACAACCAAAGAAACTCTGATGTAGAATAAAAATAGGAGGTCACTGAAGTTAATGTTATAATAACTTATTTCAAATAAATAAATTCCTTGATGTAGCATGTACTAAAAATCTATTTAAGGAAAAAATAGGAGTGTTAAACATTACTAATTTCAATTTCATAACTTTTTCTAGTTCTAGTTATGGACCAATCTGTGTTTATTTAATTATGTTCTTCAGAAATATAAGAAAAGATAAATAACCACGTGATACATAAAAATATATCGTTCGTCTATATGTGTAAAGTTTTTATAAATTGTGACATTTTATGCTACATACAGGTGGAGATTCCAATCCAGGCCAAGACGTATGTGCCCTAAGATTTCGAACTGTTGAGTTGGTCTGCATACTTTTCCCAACGAGCCTGATCTCATTTGAATATTTTCCAATGCGTTTGAAGATGATTTGGATCAATTGGTTTGCTTCGGTTGCCGTACAAATCGACTAAAATTCTAAAGACAACAGCGTTGGGATTGATCTGTGCTACGTTTCTCAACTCAACCGAACACTTTCAATTTATTTCCAATGCAACTATGTATTTGTTCATCACCAAATGCTATTATTATGACATTGCTAGAGGAAGTTGATTTAAGTAACTATTATACAGGGTGATTTTTAAGTTGATACGGTCCTTTTAACACTGTATAGAATGCAAGAAAGTAAGAAAATGCTTCGTTTCCGAGATACAGGTTGTTAAAGTTTTAAGGAAAAAATGCCTTTTTTATCATAACTTTCCTACCACTCTAGATATTTCCACAAAATTTGGTACACTTCTTTTGACTATTAAATTACAATTTTTGATGTAAAAGTTTTCAAAAAATTTCTACCAGTGGCGTTCGAACAGGATTTGTATTGAATTGTTTTAAAGAAAGAAAAAAGTACGACACTGCTTTTTCTTAAAATCAATATTATGTTTGTAATACTGATTTACTTTTGAGTTAATTTGGTCTCTTGATATTTGTTCATACGACGAACGGTTTTCGTTTAAAGAAATAAAAGCCATTTTGATGCATGGCAAAATCGCTAAAATTTGATATGGTGTGTTACATAAAAAAGCTGTTTCTTTTAGGAACCTCTTACACAGTCAAAAACCTAACGCCACTGGTACATACAATACAAATTAGTCAAAAACGAATTTTACATACAAAACACCATATCAGATTTTAGCGATTTTGCCATGCATCAAAATGGCTTTTATTTCTTTAAACGAAAACCGTTCGTCGTATGAACAAATATCAAGAGACCAAATTAACTCCAAAGTAAATCAGTATTACAAACATAATATTGATTTTAAGAAAAAACAGTGGCGTACTTTTTTTTCCTTTAAAACGATTCAATTCAAATCCTGTTCGAACGCCACTGGTAGAAATTTTTTGATAACTTTTACATCAAAAAATGTAATTTAATGATCAAAAGAAGTGTACCAAATTTTGTGGAAATATCTGGAGTGGTAGGAAAGTTATGATAAAAAAGGCATTTTTTCCTTAAGTGTTAAAAGGAAAGTATCAACTTAAAAATCACCCTGAATATTCATTTTTTCTGTAATTTTACGCGTGACATGTTAATAAATACTTATATAAAAATACACAATATAGGAATCAGAAGACTATACTTTTTCGATGCGCTGCATCCGAATCTGATATCAAAGTTCTCCATCACATACAATAGGTACATTTGACTTGATTTACAACATAAAATAATCTTCCCCATTTCATCTGAAAGTACTACTCTTTACCTTCAAAATCCATTTCGAGTCGTTCGAATACCTTCTTTTCTTTCTATGACGTACTGTTTCTGGTCTTTAAAAATACATGAATCTCAACTCATCGTAAGCGTAAGGCTCTCAAAGATCGTTTGAATTGAAGTGAAATCATTTTCATAAGAATGTAAAACAAATCTGATTCTAATTGGTTTCGAATACTGGAAAAAATATTTAAAAATTCATGTCGAGGCTCTGGGTTCGACTGAAAGCGATAACATACGATGAGTTACAGTATCTGCGGCATTTGAATGTTTTTCTTTGAGTGGAAATTAAATATCTGTGTGAGGTTATAGTGTCTGTTAGAGCTTTTTGTGCGTATTCGAACCCCAAGATTATGATGTTCTAGAATCATCTGATCCGCAATACTGAATAGTTTGCCTTAGCATTTCCATAGGACCATAGGATTCCGGTGGTACAAAACAAAGACCAACCGAAGACTATTAATGAAACATCATAACATCCAAGACTCGAGGTTAATGTTTTTAAGATGGAATGGAACAATACCGTGAAGAGTGTCGACCAATTGTTTATATGGATGAAAAGTACATTGATTCTTCTCACATCCTTGAAGAGACTTGATGAGGTGAAAGCAACAAAAAGCTCAAATGACCTGTATGAAAAAGACAACGTTTTGTTATCATGGTGGATGGGAAAATGGTTTTATACCAAAGGCGAAACTAAATTTTAAGTCAAAAACTAAGTCAAGGGACAATGTTCTGTATTAGTAATTGTCTCTACACCATATTACAATGTCTGAAAAATGCTCTACATCCGAATGTAGAAAGTATGAAATGAAGCGATGGCTACGAAACAAAAGATTTCAATTTGTGGATAATGTTAAATGTAATATAATAATATATAAGCCAATATTTAAAATATACGAAGTAGATCAAATTTTACAGAAAGAAGGCTATTTTGAGACTACCACAATATCATCCTGGCCTGAACCTTGTCAAACTTGTTTACATATCACACAAGCAATATGTTCCTAATAAAAATGTCACTTTCACTTTGACAGACCTAGAAAAGTTTGCAATGTACTTTTCGACACATTTACACCATAAAAATGAAATACTCGTTGCCAACATGACTCTTGAACGTGAGCTCAACTTAGCTATCGATCAAATTATTATAAACCTTCAAGATGATGATGATTTGGATGGTGAAAATAACATTTTTAATTCTGATACTGAACGAGCAGATAACCGAAATGCCAATGAAAAAAAATGTACACTATGCAAACAAGACTTGTATCCTTTCCACATTTAAAACGTACAAAATTTTCAACCACGACATCTTGCCAGAAGATTGGAATTTTGTGGATAGATCAACGCTAATCGTCAACTAGTTCCAATGATGCTTTTTACTGAGGAAGCTGATACATAATTAACACTTTAATACATAATTTGCATGCATCATCGTCTTTAGATAAGTTTTTAACGGAAACGGCTGCTCCTAAAGACCTCAATAAGGTATACATTTCTTAAGTAGAAAAGGGCATACACCGTGGCACAAAAAAGTTGAAGCGATTTAATATGATTCTAATGGTCACTTGTGGGAGATACAGTCAATCGTCCATAAAATTTGAATTTTCCAAGAAACCTCCGCATACAAAATTTCATGAATTTAACTCAAAGTAGTAGAGAGTTATTAAAGAAAATGTACTTCATTATTTTTTTTTTAATTGGACATCCTGTATATCCTAAACGAAGCGTTTCCAGACCTATAAAGTTCATAGGAAATTTTTTGCTTAAATTTGAACGTAGAATAACATACTGAAGTACGTACATTTCCTTCTGAGACACCCTGTATAAAACCTTAATTAGAATAACTATATTCACAAGATTTAAAAAAAAATTGCATAGAAGGTTATTGTCCTACTATTAAGGTATCTTTTCTTTGTCACTTCTACTACGGACTCTCTTCTTGATCTGCGTATCTCGCGGACAATATGAGTTCGGTCAAGATATAAATATCAATTAATACTTCATATTTTTTTAGAATATGATCAGCATTTACTTGTTAAAAGTTGCTTTTATTATTTACTTTATGATAGGAATTTATCTGCTAAACCATATGCACAATCTTTGATCGATCGTTCAGCTTTTGTTGCTGAAAAATTACAAGCTTGGTGCAACCGCTCACGGTATTTCCTAATCAGGAGGTCGTAAAGCAAACCACCGATTCAGGCGATTCATCACTTGCACACGACGCATTCATCGTTGCCACATCAACGTGCTTTACACTGTTCCGCTGTTAGATGAAAAACAAAAACGAAATAACGGATAGCGTTCGCCAGAGCTGCTCAATCACAGCAGAAACTCATGTGTTCTCTAAAATTCAACATATATCTGTTACGCTAAAAATTATATCATACAAGCAGTGTTTGTCAATATACCGACTAGGTATATTATCCAGATTATTAAAATCACATGTTTCCAATTTTTTATACAGTTTCAATTTTACTAATACTGTCTAA